TTTAGTCATGCATTACTATCTGGGATGTATGGTAAAATTTCGAAAAACTCTCATACACAATTCTTCGAGATGCCGCGTTGTCCCACGATCACACAATTTTTCAGGATAAATTTTAAGAGAAAATTTTCTCCGCGTAGAAACGTTCTATTTTGCAGCTAATAAATGCGTTTAAAAAAGTAGAAGTTGATAAATCATACATTGTCCGGTGCCTTTCCACGCGAATTTGTGCACGTATCAACACATTTATACATTTTGCACATACACACATGGAAAATGTATATGTGCTCTACCTGTGCCTAAATTCATACGGGAAGGCATCAGTGATTCTTAGTGTACAATCGTACTTTGTCGACAGATTTATCAAGTGCTTTGATTTGCTTCTATAAAATAAAATGTTTCTAGAAAATGTGCCAAGAGCACATTATAGATGAGACTTAATTTTGGCCGGAGGAAACGACGGGGCAAGGGGAGAAGTCTGGCTAGCGACGTTCCCCGAATTACGTGTCTCCCGTCAGGGGCGAGACTGGGCGGCGAGGGTGACGCCTGTTTGATTTTACTTTGAGCTCGGATCAACCGATCGGCGTTGCGTCGTTTCGCGGCTTGGAAACGGGAGGACAGATGTTCCATATTTTACCACACGACACCCCCTTCCGCTTTCACGCCCGCGGGATGACTTTCCCGGTTGTTCCCTGTGCATCTCTCGGGACATGTACAAACGTAAACGACAACATTTACTACTGCATAGCCGGTCGACGCAATTATGGCGTTTATTGTCCGCAATTTCGCGGCGAGAGGGAGGGAGGGAGGGATACGACGAAGGGATATGCGAAAAGAAGAGCGCGGCCGCGCGCTCCATTCGGATGTGTACACATGTACGGTAGCGGCGACTTGGTCCAGCTGATCGTGACATCTCAACGCACCCGACGGGTCACCGAGTCTAAGCATCTCTCTCTGGCAGTTTTTTATGAGACCTTTCCACGCAAAGAGCTTTATGGCATCGCGTCAGATCTGTACTGTAACTTCTCGGCGCATTTCTCTTTGTTTGTTTATAAGCGTGTACATTCTTTGTAATTGTAAATGAAAAAAGACATTTCATTGTTAAACGCTTGGTGCAACTTCTTACCCCCGTCCCTTCTCCCCAGCAATATAATCCCTACCCAGATAGCGCACCCTAGTAGCACAGTGCATTGTACAAACATTGGTTAAACATTGGCCCGACATTTGGTTGGGCCAACGTTAAGCCAATGCACTGCGCTACTAGGGCAAGACGCTCCTATGAACATTTTAAGAATATTCTTCAAGAATATTTGGAATATTCCATAGGTCTTATTTATTTCTTAAGCCTAATCTACAATGTGCTCTCTGCGTCTAGAAACATTCTACTTTGCAGCCAATATATACGTTTAACAACTTTGTGCAAGTTGATGAATTGTATATTATACACTGTATAATCGTACACCGTCGTCGATTTTTTTAAGCGTTTCGATTTGTTTATATAAAATAGAATGTTTCTAGACGCAGAGAAAGCACGTTGTAGATTAGGCTTTATACACTTATCTTATGTCCGTAAAATATTCGACTGGCATTACTATAAATCTTTTTCGAATGTGAATAGAATAATCTGTCGAATATAGCGTGTCGGTTATATATGGTATCACAGGTTTCACTGCCTTTTGCATAAGATACATGTGATACGCAATAAACAATGTGCAATACATAAACTTGAAGATTATTCAAAAATTATTCTGAACGAATATTCCAAAGACATTCGCGACGAATATTCTAAAAACGTTCTTCTTTGTTACGGATATATGATTTCTAATTGTAATAATCTACATATATTTATGGAATATTCTGAAATTAAAAATATTTGCACTTTAGAAGAATATTCATAGAACTATGTGTGCTATCTGGGTAGCAGCACAGTGCATTGGCTAAATATTGGCTAAACATTGGCCCTATGTCGGTTATATTAAAAATGCATTGGCCGATATTGTCCAACGTAAAGCTAATATTGGCCATTGGAATAAATGTAAATATTGCACAATAATAATTATATAATATTAGATTTACATTGGAAGTGCATTGGCCGATATTTAAAATGTAATAAGAATATTGGTCTAATATTGATACAATAATAGACCAATATTGCTGAATAGACATATTAGCTCAATAAGAGAAGACGTCCATCTTACAAGACCAATATTGGAAATACTAGATTTACATTATTTTCCAATATTGCGCCAATATATTTATGCTACCAGGGATGCGTCCCACTCCCGCGCGATTATCTTGCGAATTAATTAAATCTTTGTTCACAACACTTTCAGAAGAATTGGAAAATGTTAGAATTCATATTTCTAAATGTTATTGGAAAATACAGAGTGTCCCACTTTTGTCCCGATGATCTTGATTCAATTATTGAAATCCGATGCAGCGGGAGAAGAGGAAATTGCCAAGTTTTCTCTTTGCCACGAGAAGAATTCGTAGGACTCAGAGTTAGAGAAAATCGGGACAGGCTTTTTGTACGAAAAAAAAGCGAATAGCGTTGGAGGAGGAAGTTGGCGCGAATCCTGGCCGTGAGTCCTCGAGTCACGTTGCCGCAGCCTTCTCTTGTCAAAACAAAGAGAAATCTTTCGGCGACTGGCCTCGAAATGCTCCGTGACGCCTACCTATCGGGAAATTCATCATGAAAAAGCTGCAAATAGTGCGCGTGGACAACGATCTGGTGCAGAAGGCGAATTTGCTGATCGGCAACAATATCATCGGCCGCGGCACCGCGACGGGAGTGAGTTGCGCGATCGATTTTTCGCGGAGGAGACTCGTGTCTCGAGAGATGCCACGCGAAATGTCGTGCAGGAACGAGCGGCTCCTCTCGAGGACAAAATAATTTCGCGACCGGGTCGCCAGTCGCGCGGTAATACGACCTAGAACGAGACGCGAATTTCTAGTCAGATTCTCGCGGAATTTCCCGATCGACCCGAATATAATCCGAGCCGAGAGATAAAGAGATGTAAATATTCTTCTCGCATTTCCTGATTCGGGTTGTGGCTGGTGTTGACGTATGCGCGCGGATAAGCTGACGCGCCGGGATTATCCGCACTATCATTTTGTCGGCTGATTCACGGCTCGAGATGACATTTCACGGTGTGATACATCGTTGTTTGATAATTCACGATAACATAATGACTATTATTACATAATAGTTATTTGAGCGGGTACAATATTATATTATATAATTATTATGCAAAATAGAATATAATACGTTATATTGTATTATAACACATACATTTTATATGTTATATAACAATATAAGATAAGGAGAGTGATAGCCAACGATAGGCTTGTTGTCTATCGCTGCACTGGAGAACTAGTGCAATAAATTAGAGGAAAATCAGTATACTTTTCTCATTTCAGCTGACTGTACTAGTTTATCAGTGCAGCAATAGAAACCCAAGAAGAAATAAAAAGTCAGGATGACGTCAATTTCATCTTTTATTTCTCCATGGAAAACAAGCCTATCGTGAGCAAAAGGGGGCGTTCCATCGAGAACGGATTTATAACTAAATTCATTCTCCAGTACTTGAGAAATCTTTTCTCAGTGTAACACCTCCCAGTGAGAAATGACTCGAGTCAACATCGACACCGTTAAATTGATGTCGAATTTGACTCCTACAATGCATTGACTAAATATTGGCTAACATTGGTTCAATGATGGTTACATTAGAAATGCATTGGCCGATATTGTCCAACGTAATATTGGCCATGGAAGAAATGTAAATATTGCACCATGATAATAACTATATAATATTAGATTTACATTGGAAGTGTATCGGCCAATATTTAACAATGTAATAAGAATATTGGTCTAATATTGATACAATATTAAACCAATATCGCTAACTAGACATATTGGCTAAATAAGAGAAGGCGTCCATCTTACAATGTTGGACCAATATTGGGGACACTAGATTTACATTATTTCCCAATATTGCGCCAATATATTGTGCTACTAGCTACTAGGTACAATGTCGACGTCGATTTGGCATCGTTTCGATCAATCATTTCTCACTGGGCTTCTTTTGCTCACATTGTTGGCCATCAACTCCCTTATGTCGCCATCTGACGAGCCTAATTTTATATTAATAATAATATACGTATCACAATACAATAATAATAGACAGCAATGACGTTGTAATACAATAATGATCTCAAATAGCCAACGGTTATTACGGACGCGCAAAATATTTGAACAGGAAGCACGCGTTTCGAATACGCTTCCGGCACGCTGTTCCACGCGGCGAGGCACTTGCGAGCGCCGAGCGTCACGTGCGCCGATAATAGCCGATAGCGGCGCGTTTGGCTGCGTCAGCGCAATAAAAAATGCTTATCAGCTCTCATCTCGAGAAATTCGCGCCGCCCGCATTTATTAGCGAGAAGAACGCGGCCGGCCGGGAACGGGTCGTTTCGACGCGACGAATTCGAGGCGCGGACGACAAAACGTACAATTTTTATTTGTATCGCGAAAAATTGACACGTCGTCGCGCCGCGGAGGCGTGCAATTTGTAAAACGGCAATCAACGCGGGAACGGCTAACTTCAGGCCGAGGATCCTAAAGTCATCTGTTTTACCGACACATTCGAATATAGTTTTTGCGCTGCTAAATCTTTTTATTAGCTCTTATAATGCACAAAATAATACCAGGATAATTTGCGGTCCGCAACAATATCTGATCGGGATTATTTTGTGCATAATAACCTACGCGTCGTGTGGCGGTCGGTAACGTCGGCGTCCTCCTATTATCCGCGGAATTTTACCCGCGCTCCACCTCCGCGCACGCGTTTCGCCGACGGCTCGCTCGACGGCCAGACGGCGCGGCGAATCTCGGAGCGTTTCGAAATACGGGTTGAATCATCCGTCGGTGACGCTGCGTGATCTGCGTGTTTACGTCGTGTTTTTGTCGTGTTTTTGTCAATTAAACGTACGCGGGCGAGGTAAGCGAGCCGCGGTGATCTTGAGACGGGAGAACGCGCAGCGACTCCGAGACTCGCGGGGACACGAGTGACACAGCGTGTCTCCGGTGATTCGCTTCTTCATCGATGAGTCACGCTCGTCGACGGTTAACTGAAGGACTCCCGCGTCGGCGGCGAAGACTAACCGTGATCCTTTATTGTCGCAGTGCAACGACGGCCAGGTGCTCAAACACGCCGTGACCATCAATCTGTCGCCCAACGATGAAATGACGATTACTCCGGTAAGGTCTCTCTTATCGCCTCGTGCGTACTGATGAGAGCTCGGTAATTGAATTATTAGAAATTACTGATATACAGGAATTCTCGAGTAATTATTTCGCTCACATTTCTATAAAGCACCGTCTACATTGGAAGTAAGCAGTAAGAAGGAAGAAAACCTAACCTCTACCTTTCGGTGTAAAAGCTAAAGTACAGACATAATTTTTTTAAATATTTGTAGCACTGGTCGAACCACGCTCTAATTCGCCGAGAGTAAGCGTCAGAGCTGGAGTAGGAGTAGGAAATGGAAAAATGATTCATTTCTTTACTCCTACTGTTACTTCTTGCGCCAGGCTTACTTCATCTATTGTAGACGATCCTTTAGGGGATATTCACTGCCAGTACTGACAATGTACAGTATACGTGACGTAGATTTTCAGTGCTGGCAGTGAATGTCGGAACGCAGCCGACTCCAGTTTCCTAAGTGGAGGCCACTTCTCAGTATTATTTACCTGTTGTCATTGCAACGCGTCGCAGTTGATCAGCATCAGTTTTCTATAGAGACCATTTTCCAGCGTTAGGTGGCACCGTGTTTGATGAAACTCGCTGAATGCGCCCGATGGCGACGTCTTGAATTGGGAAGCAGCGTGCCGATAAAGCCGGGCGACATTTGCTCTCTGCTGCCCGGCAAATGTTGGTTCAAGATCATCTCGGAGCCGGATATGATGCAGGAAGGTGATCAGACGTTGAAGAGAAAGGCACGGCGACAGTTGACGTCCGAAGGAATGTTTGCACCAACATTGTTCTTACAGCTTTCCATTTCAGGTTGACGAGATGGGTTCGAACAACGAAACGGACAGTAAGAAGGCCTGCCTGTTGTCCAGCATGGAAGCTGCCGCGTCTGTCAGCGAGGGTTCAAACGGCATTCTTCTTGACAAGGATCCACCGAACGAGCGCAGAGATTGTCCCGTTAATGGAAACGGGGAGCATGGAATAGGGGACCACGAGGAAGCAACTGACCCGGTCCCGCAGATCCACCCTGCAAGGTTTTTCTTTTACTCCGATCGAGCAGAGATGTCTGACGACGAAGCTGCTCATCGCGTCCTTTGCACATTTTTCAGCTCTCCGGAGGCGAATGATATGGTCGCGACGAGTTCCAAGATGTCAACGGACTCGCAGGACGCGGCTGAACCTCCCGTTGAGCAAGAGAGTAACAGGAAGCGGAAAGCAAATAATATTAATTTAGCGAGTAAAGCTGCGACAAACGGCGAGCCAGACAAGAGGATCAAGTGGGACTGCGGCGCGCACTTCAGCGATCGGCTCGACGCAGATCCGCCGAACGATTCTCAGTCGCCCGTCGCCTCGCCTCAGGATCAAGCGAGTGCCTCGAATCCCGACAGAGTCCCCAGAGAGAGGTGTATGTACGGCGCTCGATGTTACCGGTAAGTGAACGATTCAGTTTCTTATCGAGATGATTTCGTCAAAGTGCAGTATGGCTTTCGGCAAAACACCCTGAAATACCCTTGTACTCTGTTCGCAGCAAGAATCCCAATCACAAGAACAACTACAGTCATCCGGACGATTCCGATTACGACGATGACGACGACCGGGAGGAGTGTCCGTACGGCGCCAAGTGCTATCGTAAGAATCCGCAGCATAAGGAGCAGTTCAAACACACGAGCGTGCCGCGCCGTCGTCGAAGAGCCGCCACCCCTGTGCACTCGGCGAACGACAACGCGTCCGAGACGGAGGAGTCCGTGGAGGAGTCCGTCGACGAGTCCGATTACGAGCCGTCCGTGTACACGGAGAGCTCGGACGACTGGGACGACAGGAGCGAGCTGGACGACGGCACGACTGGCTAACGACGGAGATCACAGAGCTTCCCACGTGTTCGAGAGCGTCCAAATTACAGATGTGTGTGTCCGCAATGCTGGTCTATTTTGTTATGGAATATTTATTTTTGTACACAGGACTTAAAATATTATACACCTGTATATCTGTTTTACATGAAGAGAGATATATATAAAATGTTAGTAATATATCACAACCGACGTTGTCCTTTTACATGTCGGAAATCTATGAATATATTAATCGGATGTACACTTAAAATATAAATCATTTTATTTTAAACGCGGTATTCATAGTCAGTGGATACTCCGTAGCCAATGAAATGTTACAGAATCTTAAGATAAACTTAGGACGGTCTTAAACATAAGACGTGACTGTGAACACAGGCCTAAATGTCTAAGGCCCGGTTTCACCAAAAGTCGCTTAACTTTAATCTTATTGTTAATTTAATTCAGGTTTGTCTCTTTCTAAAGTAACAATTGGAAAAAGACAATGAATTAAACTAAGCCTCAAAGTTAAGCGACCGTTGGTGAAACCGGGCCCAAATAACGTCCAAGTAGCGTCTAAAATCAAACAATTGTTATAGAATATGGCATATAGAATTTTTTAATGCAATTTTCACAAAAGTATTAGTTTGAAACGATCGATAAATTACTGGAATATACGTTTCTTTAACAGTCAGTTTCCGATTATACCGTCGCTATATCAAATGCTATCGCATCAGATTGAGAAGTCCACAATAATGAAGAAACGGGAAAATAATCCGCGTTGGACAATCTGCGCTCTCGCAATATTAAAACGCCTGATATCCCTCGTCGTCCTCGGTGGCGTACTCCTCGGCCGCCGCGATGGCCATGTCGACCAGCATGTGCTTCGGTATCTCGGACCCCCGTACCTTGATGGTGTAACACGCGTTCTCCATCTTGGTCAGGCTGTGCTTGAGCGTGATGATCTTCTTGTTCACCTCGTTGTTGTGCACCACGCTGGTGTAGCCCAGGAAGGCTATGTATATCTTCCGGACGAAGTTGCACGTTTGGTAACAGCTGGTAACGTCGCCTATCGCCAGGTTGTTGATGCACTTTCGCATCAGCTCGCCGGTCAGGTCGGCTATCCCCAGGATATAGTCCGTCGGTGTGACCATCACCTGTATCATCTTGCCGCTGTCCTGCTCCGGCGAGTCGACCGGAGACGAGGCCGCGCGGTACATCAGCGCTTTCTCCAGGGTGGTCCAGTCCTGCATGCTGCCGTTCTGCAGATACTCGTAGAACGTGAGCGCCTCCACGTATTCCTCCAGGCCGGCGCGGTAGGCTCGGTGGTACTGATAGGCGTCCTGACCGTCCAGCTCGTTGGCGACGTTTCGGAACAGCTTCTGCCCCACGTTCTCCAGCCGGGCCTTGGCCGCGTCCAGTACGGCGTTCCGCTTGCTCTCCTTGTCGATGGTGTGCAGGAGGAAGATGATCCTCTTGCTCTCGATGCCCACGTCCCGATTGATTTTGAAGATCCTCTCGTAACGATCGTGCTTGGCGTCAAGCTCGGTCGCGTACGCGCGGAACTGCTGCACCACGAGACTGTTCTCATTTATGTCCTCCACCACCTCCCTGCCCTTGTCACCGAGACTGATCTTTTCCTTGTCATGATGTTTGCGGTTTCGCCTGCCTCCTGCAAGTAGCACCAACGTGAGCGGATAATATCTTTGTCTTGCGACAAACTTACAGACTGTCAAAGCAGCAGAGGCATATGTACAGTCTTATTTATTAATGCCTGGACCTGCATTTTTATCATCATTTCTCTCATACAAATCACCGAGTTTCAGGCGGTATATATGTACTACCACAGACTTCTATAGACGCTGCGTGAACTGCAGCCTGAAACTCATCGATGTATAAATGGTAATAAAGAGTATGAAAATGTGAATACTAGTAAAACAAACCGTACATGTCTACGATAGATCAGCACTAAACTGCGATAGATACCGAGAGAGAGTCTTGCGTGTCTCAACCGCGTGTAGTTCACGACGCCGTGCAAAAGGATCAAGAGCATCGAAACATGTAACGTTAAAGTGAATGCATATCCTTGTTTCGAGGGGGACGAATCTTTCGCTAACTTTGAGGGGTAGAGAGTTCGGATGTTGCTGCGAGACTCAAGAGCAACGATATGACCTATTTTCCTCGGAATTCGAGGATATCAACAATCAAAGGTATCTCTCGATCGTGAAATTAATCCCCCTCGAGCACTTCGAAGGCGGATTTCTACCACCGCCGCCGAGGCTTCCGTGTGCAGGACTCGTCAGCTGTCACACGGCCTCTCGTTCGCATGTGGAGTCGATAGGCTTGTTTTCGGTTGCTACACTGACCAACTAGTGCAACAAATTAGAGTAAGGCTGATGGCAGAGAACAATCCGTAAACGCTTAAGGTCCAGTTTCACAAACGTCGGTTAACTGTTAACCAGAGTTCAGTCGACTTCCTATCTTTCTCTATCTTGTTATCCAAGAAGAGACAGAGGATCAATTAACCATGGGTTAGCGGTTAAACGACGTTTGTGAAACTGGCCCTTAGACTGTCTCAGTCGTAGACGTAGGGCAAGGCAGAGAGAAACGTAAGTCGTGAAAGGCTATTGTATACGACTTACGTTTCTCTCTGCCTTGCCCTACGTCTACGACCGAGACAGTCTTAAGCGTTTACGGTCGTGAAAGGGTATTGTATACGACTTACGTTTCTCTCTGCCTTGCCCTACGTCTACGACTGAGACAGTCTTAAGCGTTTACGGATTGTTCTCCGCCATCAGCCTAAGATAATGTTTTTCTCTCATTCTAGCCTGCCGCACTGGTTCACCGGTACAGCAACAGAAAGCAAGCCCGATGTTCCTTGACGCCGCGACGGGACGCAGCGTCGCGATCAGCCGACTCACCTCTCCCCTGCGACATCGCGATTCGTCCTGATAATCTCCCTCGGTTAATCTGCACGCTGACGGTGCACGGGGCGCATGGACTTGACGAACCACCCTCGCAGACGATCTTCCAGGCGACGTGACGCCGCAGCTGGGCCGCACAGCAGATGTTGAGCTCGGTTGCCGCACGAGGGAGGGGGAATACGCTCACGGCGTGCCACCACCGTTTGAAAACTAAACAGATCGCAATAAGCCCAGTTTGCACCGATTATTTGATACGCGTATCGAATAGTGTATTTCGGCCGACGACTAAATCTATTTAATAGTCATTCACTATTTGATACGCGTAGCAAACAATCGGTGTAAACTAGGCCATTATCTCATCGAGAACGGGGCTGTTAACTCATTACCAAAAGGGAAATAATCCCGGTACTATGCGCACGTCTCTCAGGTATTGATGTATTTAACGCAGTTTCTTCTTTTTTTTTAGTCCTCCTGCTTCCGTCTTTATTTAGTTATCTGCTCAACGCGGTCTCGCAACAGAAGATTAAAGTAAAAAAAAAAAGAGATTGCCTTAATAGGCGCGTATATTCATGTGGAAAGTTTAATCGCCTTTATCCGCGCCTCTCGATAAGTACGCGCGAGAAATGAATTTTCGATGGAAGCTAGGCTTTCGTCACTTATCGATCGTTTAACAATTGGGATTAGCTTTGGATTAATACAATTTTCATTAGGAAGAAATCAATTCAGTTTCGACACTTTTCCGAGGGTACGTAAAGAGCCGGTCATGTCGGAATCTGCATCGCGGCGCCATCTATCGATGCAACGGCGAACTAACCTTGTCTCGTCGCGCCAACAGATGTCGCCACCATCTCTGTCCGGGGACCGAACGCTGGCGAGACGAATTTCGTTGTAGCGGTAGATGTCACCGCCATGTTCTATCTGGCAGTTTTATTCAAGACGCAAGTAGAATCTGCCTCGACGCCACTCTTGCAGCCCTAGTTTTTCTTCAAGACGCAAGATGAACCTTCCTCAACACCACTTTTACAACCCTAGCAGGTATAGCACAATACAATGACGCAATATTGGGAAGTAATGTAAATCTATTGTAAATCAATAGTCCCAGTGAGTCCCAGTAAGAAATGATTCGGCGATCGACGTCGAAACGACGTCAAATCGACATCGACACCGTCGAATTGACGTCGATTCGACATCATTTCGACGTCGATCGACGAATCATTTTTTACTGGGGTATCCCCAATATTGTAAGATGGATGGCCCTCTCTTATTCAGCCAATATGTCTATTTAGCAATATTGATTTAATATTGCATCAATATTAGACCTACATTCTTAGTACATTGTTAAATATTGGCCAATACACTTCCAATATAAATCTAATATTATATAATTATTATCGTGCAATATTTACATTTTTTTCCATGTTGGCTCTTTATTAGACAATATCGGCCAATGTACTGTGGCTACTAGGGAAGGTTTGATATATTTAGTATATCCCGTTATACTTTTGAGCTTTCAGTTACAAATTTAAGAGTTCCACCGTAATTGATAATATGGAGCGTTTAGTTTTACACGTACGTCTAAAGGTAGGTACAATTAGGAATAATAAGCTTATTAATTATCGTTGCACACTTTTGCGTAAAGTGTGCAACGATAATTAATAAGCTTATTATTCCTAATTGTATTTTTTTCTCAAATAGAAAAATACGTTCGGGATTGTCACCGCTGTATCTGTATCAGTGGGAAAAATTTTCTCGAAATCGATGTGTAAAATCGACCTACCGATAGATACGTTTCAAACATTCTCGACAGGCACGCAATCGATATCTGTCATGCTTAATGAAAACCGAAACAAATTACACGAAAGTGAATGCTCGATAACCCAGAATTGGCGATCTCTCAATTAACGAAATCCCGTTGTCCGACGATTTTCGAAACGTGTTTCATCTTATCGAAATATTTAGTGCGATACAAAGTTTGGAAAATTTAATTTGGGGACGAGTTACTATAAAGTATTCCGCGTCGCAAGCTGGAAAGGAACGAAGAAAGATGACCGCCGATCAAAGTTTTATTAAAAAAAAGTATAAGTGAAAAAAAAAGACAGATTGGCGTCAAGTTGGTTGAAGAACGCAACCCTGCTATCTCGCCCCTTCGTACCTGGACGAGAAACTTGTCTAATGTTCCACGTAACTTTTTAATTCGCTTACCTTTTACACGGATATTTTCGAGTCCCTAGAACGAGCGCACGCCATTCATTTTCCTGCGCCATGTATTTTTTTAACAGACATTTTGCATTAAAAACACATAAAGCAAATAAAACGTAAATAAACGCACGAAATATTTAACATTTATTTATTTGCGCGTATGTGTGCACGCGCGCGGACGCACGTATGCTGCGCGCATCAAGTATTACTAGCAAAAATTAAAAAAAAAATCGTAATGAAACTTGAAACAGGTGTTTTTGAATTCAGAATTAAATTTAAAAAATCCTTTTCAAATCCCAATTTAATACTTAAGTAATTTACGCAAACGTTCTGTCCCGATCGAAAAAATCTTTTCAAGAAATTAAAATTGTAAAAAGTCTTCCAAACTGTAATTAAGATATTAATTTGGCTTCATTTGAACACTTTAATTTCATATTGATTTAAAGAAAGTATCGAGACTGTGTGTATATCTGTATGTCCATATCTTTTTCAACGGCAACAAATATTTAGGCCGATCTTATATTCAAGACCGTGTTAAGATTATCTTAAGATGCTGTACGGAACGTTTCATTGGAGTATCCGAAGATGATCCTGAGACGATATTAAATATAAGAGCCGAATAGTAGCGAATTCAACAGCTTGCACTGATTGTGAGTGCGCACTAAGGCTTGTTCACAATAAATTTCTATATTTAAGGATCGCCCTAAAGACTTCTCAAAATGCTTCTTAGCCAGTAAAATGATCTATATAGCATTCGTACGGTTCATGTTTTTGGCTAAATAGCTTTCGGACGTACACTTGAGACCATATAGATAAGAGTAGAGACTCTGAACGAGCCTTGCACCCATAGAAAAAATTTCCGGATCCAATGCTATTACACTTGAATGTGTCATAAAATAGGATCGATATAGCGCCAATCATATTTATTATAGAGAAAGGAGTATTTTAATCTTAAATGAAAAATTCTAAAATCTAGAATAAAATGATAGTATGTATCGTCTTTTGTCGAATATCGCGGTACCAACTTCGTGCGTTGTAAGATGGAGGAAAAATTTATTCCAAACACAAGAATATATAAGTAAAGTTACTCTTGTCTCAATATAGTAAGTCAATCTATTTTATTTCGATAGAGGAGAATAAGAGTTATTGATTTTATTTTCATATTGTCTTATTTTTATACTAAATGAGGTTGTGCTCAGTGCAAGCTGCCGAATTCGCTATAAAAATACCGCCCTTGGATGAAAAGCGCGAAATTATGTGACCGTGATTTCGTTTCGGCATCGCAACTATTTGTAAGATTCCGAGCCGTTTGAGTATTTAGTGTTTAGTAGTTAGTTTTAGTATTAGCTCGCAGTTCAAACACTCGCAAGAGAGCATCGGGTAAAGTTTCGAAAAGGCATTTGAAACTTTCAATGAAGTTGGCGAAGCCCATTGCTAACGAATGCTAAGATTCAGAAATCTTTTACCTTACCAAATGGAGCGTGCATAAAAATAGAGAACCGTAACTTTTCCGTATAACTGATTAATACGGAGACTCCAGTTTCTTTTAACAAATTCTAAGATATAGACGCACGATTTCCTGGATATAACTTATAAGTAACTGTCATACAGTTTCCTATCGCTTTCCTATAATTATTTTCCGGATGAAGAAGAAATAAAAATCCTGGCTGAGGTAACATTTTTTGCAATAAGAATAATTTACAGTACGGGGAAGGAGGGTATTGAATGCCAAATGTAGCATCTAAAAATGCTAAAATGTAGCGTTCTAAATATAATTACAAATCGTTTATCGAGTTGAATGTGTGAATTTGCTGACGATATTAACTCCACCTGTAAGAAAACTGCGTTATGTCCGAAAAGAAACCGGCGCGTAGGACAAATGTGGAAAGAAACGGTATATGAATTCACACTTTAATAAATTACAAGTATAGGCTATCTACATCTTGCCTTAAACTTGCATTGGCCATTCTTGTGTGTCGTTTAAGAAATAAAAGTGTTACATATATCCACGTAATTAATATTATCGCGTTCAGTCGATTAACTTTCATATGTATTTACTTACAATACCATCGCGATTAGGTATTTTTTTTTGCAAAAGGGAGAAAACAACTGATTACGATCGTTTTTGTTGATTCCGGAAACGTTTATATCAGGCTTCACGAAAATCCGGGGATCGGACCCTCTCTAGCATCCTTTACATCTTATTTGTCGGCAATATTTGGTAGCAAACAGGCGAGCGTAGCCCCAAGTCTATCGACCGAAAACCGAATGGACCAAGGCCGGAGAGCCGAGATCCAAGGATGGGGGGGCCGCGGCCGCATACAGCATCCGCGTGGATTCACAGAGGCGGAGGGGGCCGAGGGGAACGGTTTGGAATTAATCAGTACCGGTCTTCGGTAAATAACCGTAACGAGGATCCCTCGGTCAACTCGGCGAGCTTTCTAAGAATTCGACGAAAGACTACAACACGCCGCCGAGGACGAACGGTAATGAAGCTCGAGGCTTTTCCGATAGCGTTCGAGAGACGCTCGGTAATTTATTTGGCAGGGTAGATTGCTACTATTTCGCGAATCGCTATTCTTCCGCTCGTGATAGATGAAAATAGTTGGACACTTAACTACCACCTTTCAACAAAAAAAGACTTATTGTCGCCAGTACATAATTAACCAATGCAGGAAAATTAATAAATGACACAACTGGCAAATTCTAATTAGAGAAATTCATTGCGAAAAATAGAGTTTGAACATGGACCTGCCTACGCTCTGGGCGGGCGTTTCACCAATTCGACCACTGAGGCATGTGGTAACATTTGTCGCAATAAACAGTCTATCTTCGCGTCTATTTTTCGACTTTAACTGCGCGCCGATTCGGAAAAGAAAATATATTAAGCAAAATTAATAGAGATGTCATCCGCGAAATATTGCGCGCTCACAATTTCCGAAGGACTCCTAATTTTAGAGACTACTTTAATAATTGTTGAATTATTTCCTGTTCCCTGTGTCCGCATCATCAGTAAACTCTCTTGTTCAAAATCGGAATACATGTTTATCGAAGCGGATTTCTATCGTGTCTTTATCACTGAAATTCTGAAAGTTAATTCACAAAGAGGAGATTGAAATTATATCATGCCCACGTAAATGTTTTGCGATATGTTACATCGGGAATTTGATATCAATTGTTAACCATTCAACTAATTGGCACAATGTAAATGGATAGCTGATTATATGCGGATTGTTTGTCTGCATATTATTAATATATCATATAATATATAATAACAGGTTTAATAAAATTATGTTTCATATTAAGCCGCTATTCACTC